CATCCATTCATTCCAAATGAATTACTTGAAAAGGAATTGACCAGATATGATAGAATTGTTAGTTACTCTGAGGTATATACCACTGGGATGCAAGAAACATGAATTGCGTCACGTAAAATCTTTTCGCATACAGGTTTATATGCCATGAGAACAAGATAAAATTGATGTAGTATTTATTGTCAAGTATGAAGAACGTCCTTATAGAATAATGATACATCTACACCGACCACTAAAAACACGCATTCTTCTGCTCGAAACGATTATCAAACAGACACGCAAACTGATTCACACGTTGTCTCTCAAATCGCCGAAACGACATGAAAACATATATTATGAAACCTGGATAATTTAATACAACCCGATACAGCCGAGCAATCCCCCAAACGTACTGAGGAATGCTCTGCAAAAAATAATAACTTGTCTTTAAATATAACTAAATATATCGAAACTGAAAACGCTAACCAAAACTCAAAAACGAATAAAACCAATCAAAACGCCAACGTCACAGACATCTGTGATGACAATGAAGGCGCTAAAAATATTATCAAACAAGCAAACGATTTCTGCCTGAATCTACATCTGTTCGTCCGATCCTTTCACTATACATGGAAGAATACTGATATGCCTGCAAGATAAAAAAAATCGTGTTTAACGATTGCCTGCAAAACTCGCCAAGCATTATATTAAAATGCTGAAAAATAAAGAAATAGGGGATTCATCAAGCGACAAACCTATTAATGAGATATGGAATATTGGACGCGGAGCGGAGCAGAACGTGTGGGTTTTTTCAAAGTTGCTAAAGTTACACATACTCTTCTGGTGTGACTGTTCTTGTCAGCCCAATAAAAAAGGTCAATGTCCTTAGTGTAAACAATGTCGTTGACGGTCGACTACTTCATGTTAATGTCGAGGTCAATCATTCTTGATTGCATTTGGTAAATGTCTATGCTCCCACGAGCGGAGAAGAACGTTTGGATTTCTTCAAAGCTGTTAAAAACCTGATAAATGGCTTAAACTTTGACACATTAATTATGGGTGGCGACTACAATTGCACGCTGAATTCTGATATTGGTTGCTAGTCGTGAGTCACACCACCATCATCATTGTTTTTGTAACACATTATGAAGCCATTCAATGGCATGGCGACATGTCAATCCAAACACGAAACAATACACCTGGAATCAAAATAACGACTTGACACGTTTTACAGAACGAAGTCTATTGCAACAAGGAAAACACGTGTTTGTATTCAGCATCATTGTAATTATTCAGATCATTGTCTGGTCACACTCACCTTCATTCTATTAGTAGCCGTAATCCTGTATGAACCTTCAATTCTAGTCTTCTACATGACGAAGACTAATGTACTATTTGACACGATTACTGGTTGCTGTGGAGAAAGTCACGAAGTCAGAAGTCACGGTTTAATTCCATCCATTGGTAAAATTAAAATAAAAGAGCTAACTAAGTAATATACTGCGAAACTGAGTAACAACTATGGTACTTTGAAACACAAAATTATCAATGAAATTGCAGATGTGACAGTCAGTTCCATACTCCGAAAAAATTCAATCAGAAAAGGACATTACTTGAGAATATTACCAAAACGGAGACTAAAGGCGCAGCCATTAGATCTCATCACTAAATTCTTAACGAGAATGTCGCTCGCACCTCCTGTTTTGTCTAAGTTGAAAAACAATATACCAGATTATTGTGTCAAAGTTGCTCCATGGATGTATCTGTCTATGCCCTTGTCGATTTAATTGGTCAGAACGTTTTTTGAAGTTTTTTTGGCGCGGACGTCATTGGGTCCGTAAAAAAAATTGTTTACTTACCAGTGGCTGAAGGCGGCCAAGGTCTCTTGGATCTGCCAACTCGTATTCCTTGTTTCCGTATCCAATACATACAACGATATCTATCTATTTTAAATCTAATACAGCGCACACATTTCCAAAAAGCTGATATAATCAAATCGGTCAGCTAATCAACAACAATAATTGGCTCGACATCAATAGCGTACACGAGCTTTTCTATTCAAAAAGGGTATTAAATATTGCACTAGATGTAATTAAAAAAAAATCCCTACGGAATGGAAGATACTTATTTAAAATGGCTGCAACCCGAACTTAACTAATCAACTTCACACAAACTATTACATCGAAATGAAAGAGACATACTCCTGAACTACCCTATATACAAAACAGAAAAAGGGGCACTCTATAAAATCATGACGTCAATAAATTACCTCACTAAACAAAAGACCGAGTACAACACCATATGGAGAGACTTACTTTCAATATCTCCAGAACACAAACCGAACTATCGCAATTGTTACATCTCGCTTCTACTTAAAACAGGCGGAGATCTACAATGGAAGCTGCTACACGGCGCATATCCTACAGGAGGTTTTCTCTACAATTGTTGCATGTCGCAATCAGACAAGTGTCCGTTCTGCAATGAAATCGACAATATTATGCATGTATTCCTGAACCCTCTATTTGACACAATTAGAATAATGATACAAGATCTACTAAACGACGACAGGTTACCGCCCCCTGAGGAAAAAACACGCCAACAACCACCAAAGTGGAAATCCATGTTACACGCTACAATAAAGTAAAAGAGCTTGATCTTACTGATGCACTGCTTTTCAAACTACGAGTCATCAACGAATTCAAGTACCACCTACATAACTACTCCATCTAGACATTCATCGAACAGTACTGCATCAACTACACAATCGCCAAAGTCAATGGACAAAATCTTCAATTATCGGACAGTATTACGTGAACATAAAACATTTTCTTCATACCGTTATTGACATTCACTCTGTATACAATCACTTGCCTTTCATGACTTCATGACTCGGCTAATTACTTTGTATTTGATACCACTTTCTCGATTCGATCTTTTTTACTATTGCCCTTTTTAAACTTGTAAATCAGTAATATATTTTTTTAAATGAGCAATAAAAACAGAAATGAATGAATGAATGAATGAATGAATGAATGAATGAATGAATGAATGAATGAATGAATGAATGAATGAATGATGGATGGATGGATGGATGGATGGATGGAACAATGGATGGATGGAACAATGGATGGATGAACGGACAGACGTACGGACGGATGGATGGATGGATGTAAGATTGGATAGATGGATGGATAATGAATGATGGATGAGTAGGTGGGTGTGTTGATGACTGGATTGATGGGTGAATGGATTCATATCACCTCCCAATACGTGCATACATAATATACGTGCCTGCGCACAGCCAGTGCCTATTGAAACGTCCTGGGAGCCTCCTGGATTGGCAACACCAACGCTTGAGTAGCAGCTTGAAGTTAACATATTACAAAACGAACCATATCAATAGTTATGTGAGCAGTAGAAAAATCAAAAAAATTGTACATTTTGATACGATATGAGGCATAAACAATTACGAATCGGTTTCTCCCGAAATAAGAAAAACATAGCTATAATGTTTATTGTTAGAGGATATTAATAGCACCAATGTTGTATAGGGTAATGTAAATACGAGTACATACTAATTATTATTTTTCATGAAATTTATTCTTGATGTGTGTCCTGCTGCAGCACTGTATGCTGGGAATGTCAGACAGGATACACGTTCCCAATACTTTAACGCCTTTTCTATCACGGCTCTGTCACCTTCACCTACGAAAAATAAATGTGGGTCGTTTTTTTTATTAATGAAGACAATATTATTAAAATTACTATAGTGTACATAACCGTTCCAAGCAGTATACCCGCTTTTCATTTTCAGGCTGCTTGAAAGCTCAGGCTTAAATATTCAGGAAAGAAAACGAAATACATCTGATTGGAGAAATAGATTTCAGACTAGACCCGACTTGCTACACAATTTCACATAAAACAGCACAAACAAAACAATTTACATTTGCTTTAAAATTTAAAAAAAAAAATATATTTTTCTTACTTTGAGCAGATATCACATAAGGCACAACACCATTTGGCCACCGCCTTGCCAAGTCAGCATGTGCTTTTCTAATGCCTCCACCATTGTTGAATTCTTCTATTTGCTGTTCAATTGATGTTCTTTGTTTCTCTGTCAAAATAATATCGGATTCTAATGCACCAGGTGTCTCAGCTTCTTCTGGTGGTTCAGGCTGCAACTCCTATTTAAAAAACGTTTCACGTTTAGCATTTGATGATTACACTTTTATGCTAAATAGATTTATGTTTATTTTGAATATATCGTCCAATTATGGCTCAATCGATATACCATGAGTGGCGTTTTACACCTTTCAATACACCAGACATTTGTTTTTGATATGTTTTTATTTTGAAAACTATATGTATTGTGTATGCCATATTTTCGCTATATGGTTCATGAGTAAGATATTTAATGTATATTGTGTTTCTGTGTTATCTTAAATTGATGAAAATTGTTTATCTCCTATGGAGACTGTGTAAAGATCACTCGTTCGTGAAGCTGGTTGATATGAGGGACATTATAACTAGTATTATCTATGACCCAAAGATGAGTTGGTAATACAACCCATGACGTGAGAGATAGAATTAAGCTATATGAATAAGTGATATCAGAAAATAGTCTTTCTATTGCATGACCAACACCGAGTTCCAAAAAACATACAAAATTATAATTTTATAGAACTGCGCTTATGTGTCATATGCTGATTTATACTAATATGGCATAGCATGTGAGTACACTCGTATATATTATTACGAGTTCGAATCATTGCAGGATTTAAATTATTGAAATTGTGAAATTCATAAATTGATAAGATGTAAACATGCTTGTCACGTGTTTTTTTTTCTCGTCGTACAGTTCTAACCTGCATAAAATTATAACGTGAATATTTCGAAGTTCAGCATACCATATTACATATAATGATATGAAAATTTGTCAAGTGATAAACACATACGTTAATTAATTAATCACATACCGCATTGATGTTATAAATACTAGCTACCAACAGTAAACACACATATAATTCCTGTGTCGTTGCCATGGTATCCAAAAGTTAACGTCTGAGAGATTAAATGAAAATCATATATTATCAAGGATTTATAAGATTGTGGTATGTAATCAAGTGATATGCGATGGAAACTTAAATAAAATTGATGCGAATTGCGAGATGCTCTTTAAATCACAGGACAAATATGAATTTCAAAAATACTAATTCAAATGAGTGAGTGGCCGAAAAAATTTTTAATGTTTTCAAAGTGTGTAATAAATGCGTTTTAAAATACATATACAGTTTTGCTCATTTTTGTTTGCGCTATAGAACATTTCTGGGCGCTCAATCCGTTCCGAGGTGCTATTGGTTTGGTTTCTGTTAGATTGACGTCGGAACAGGATAATCTATTATAAGATTTACTCCGACTTTTTACTCGGAACTACCGGTAACACCTGAGCGAAACAACTACTCGTCATCAGCTAGTAGTCATCAATGACGATGAAAGGAGTAAATATATTACGATTGTTTCTCAGATGCTCTGTTTACAAAGCAGCTCCTCTCCCCCAACCGTTCTTATTGTATGGTATATAAAGGTTTATAACTCAATGTATTTCATGGAATAGGATTCCAAAAGAATGGAATTTCG